CCCAGTTTCTCTCTTGCATTGTAGAGCACAAGTGCGGCTCAGACAGCCTGGCAATGAGTAATGGTTGTGTCCACTATACAGTTATGAGACCTTCATCTACAATGACTCTGATGAAAGGAGACCCCTCCAGCCTCTGTCTGAATGTCTCTGATGACAGAACTCACCACTTTCCAGGTGTCTTTCCACTCCAGTGCTTGGGTCTCAAATCCTTCCTGTTAATGTTTATGCTGCTTTGTGTGTGTGTGCATGTGTATGTACAGTTTTTTATTGAATTAAAAACATGTGCTGCCTTATCTCTAAAAGAAGATCAATGACAAGTAGCATCTGTGTCTACCTGACATCCACCAGCACTTAAATGAGCCCTAACCCCCAAGCAGCTCTTCCTGATTCCAGCAAAACTTTTAAAACTCACTACCTTCCCGTCCCCCACCTTCAAATAAATGGTTTGCTCTTGGCCCTCCTGTAAGCCTCGGCTTGGTGTGACACGCAGCAGGCACCTCTATTCCTGCTGTCTGGGTTGCTCCTTTTTTCTGACCCTTGCTTCTGCGCCCTTCCTTCAGTTTCAAACAGGCTCTGCCACATGAGCTCAGCTGCCATCTCTCAGCCTCCCCTTGGGGGCTCCTCCCTTCTCCTTCTGTCAGGAGCTCCCATGATCACACCTTCAGAGCTGCATTCCCAGGGGGCTGCCATATGGGCCTGACCCCTTCTTTCCGGCCCATCCGTGGGGCTGTGCCTGCCTCTCCCCTCCTGTTCTGAGTGTTCCCTGGCTAAGTTAGAACTGCGACCGCCTCTTCTCTGGCTCTGGTTCTCTGAAGTGGAGAGAGCGCATTTCTTTCCTAGGACTGCCCTAACTAATCATGATACTGTCACAATCCCGGTGGCTCAGAACACACAGGGCCTCTGATGGTCCTGGAGGCCACAAGTCTGAGATGAAGGTGTTGGCAGGGCCTGGGGGGGTCCCTCCTCGCCTCCTCCCAGCACGGGTATCTGTCTGTTTGCCAGCAGCCCTTGGCGTTGTCTGGCGTGCAGCAGCTCCAGCCTCTGCCTCCACCTTCCCACGGCCTCCCTTCTCCTGTGTCTGTCTGCGCCTGTGGCCAAGTTTCCCTCTTATAAGGACACCGGGCTTTGGATTTGGGGCCCACCCTCAGCCAGAATGACCTCAACTTAATTTCATCTGCAAGACCCTGTTTCCAAATAAGGTCACATCCGAAGGCTCCAAGAAGATACGCATTTGAGTGGGGTGCATGGTTTCACCCAGGAAACTCCCCTCCCCTCATCTTTGATTTCTCCTTCTCCTTTACTCTCTCCACCTAAAACATCAAGTTAGCCCTTGATCCTGCCATCTGGCATCGTCCCCAAGGCCTTTCCATCCAGCACAGGCTGAGTCCTGGCTTCGCTGCTTAGACAGAAGAGAATGTCATTTCCCTTTCTGGGCCTCAGTTTTCTGACCTGCAAAGTGGAGATAACTGTGTCTACTTTAGAGTTGTGGTGGTGAAAACAGGAAGTACTCTGTAAAGCAGTCAAAAAATAATGCCTAAGCCAGGCACGGTGGCACACACCTGTGATCACAGCACTCTGGGAGGCTGAGGCAAGATAATCAATAGTTCAAACCCCCCCCCAAAAAAAATAGTTCAAACCCAGCCAATGCAACTTAAGGTTTTAGTGAGACTTTGCTTCAAAAAAAATAAGTAAATAAATAATTTTAAAGAGCTGGTGATATAGCCTAGTGTGAAGGCTCTGGGTTCAATCCTCAGTTCAAAAAAACAAAAAACAAATCCTGGAGCCGGGGATTTAGCTCAGTGGCATAAGCGCCCGACAGGCAAGCACAAGGTCATAAGGTTGATCCCTGGTCCAAAAAAAAAAATCCTGACCTACTAATATGGACATTATCAGCATCACTGCAGGCTTTCATCATCTGGCATGAATGCCTGCAGTGTCCCTAAACCCCACTCTATCTTACAAGCACACACCCACCCGGTCTGCAAACGTCCCACTGCAAAGGCCATGACCTTCAGCAAGGCTGCCCCTACCTGCCTGCCTCTGGCCTGGTCTCGCCATGTGCTGCTGTACGCACTTTCACCATGCCCACACCCGCTGAACCAAAAGCAGCCCTCAGGAGGCTCTCCACTGCCCGAGGCCTTTGCACAACTGCTCTCCTCTCAGGGACTCTCCATCCCGACTCTACCTGGATGTCTGCTGCTTCTCTCTCCAATCAATTCGGCGGGGTCTCACCTTCTTCAGGTAACGACCACAGCCCCAACTCCCTTCTACCAGTCAGGGCTCACACATTGGGGTCCCAGCTCCTCCCAGCAGAGCTACTTTGGCAGAACTGAGTCCCTTCTCAGTATCTCAGGAAATCCCCGGATCACCACAACCAGGGGAAGGAACCAAGCGTGCCTCAGTGAGACTTATCTTCTAGACGCTACAGGCACTCCTTTGGTCCCATCTTCTATTTCTTGTTGGAGCTGACATCTCTCTCTCACCTGGTCACTGAGATCCTCTCTCTCACTGACACCCCCACTCTTCTGAGCCTTTTCCTGCCCTCCTGGTCTCTGGAACTGCCTCTCCCAATCTGGCCCCAGGCTCTGCTTGATTTGCTTCTTCCCCAGCTTTGGCAGCTCACGGGCTGTCTTTCTTCCAGACTGCTGTTTGCTTCTGTGATCAGCTTATGTGCACACACATGCTGTTTTGGGGGTGCATCTATGTGAAATCTTCTCAGTGTACAGCGGAGCGGAGTCGGATACTACAGGAACATCCCCCAGCCTGGAGGCAGCAAAAAGCAGTAAGCTTTTTGACACACACCCTTAAGAGCTTACACTCAACCTGGGTAACACCCCTGGCTGCTGGGGGTCCCACACCTCAGGACACCTTACTGGCAAAAGAAGAGGGAGTGGAGGAAGGGATCTCTCCGGGAATGTTGCCATGGAACAGTCTCCTGTCCAACCCGGAAGCACACTATGGGTGTAGGGAGGAAAGGCCTCAGGGTGCCCTGGGTTTAGGTCCAAGGAACAAAGGCTAAGAGTCTCCTCCTGGCAGAGAGGCCACAGCGTGGGACAGGATTGCCCATAGCCAAGGCCCCAGCTGAAAGAGCCTTCTAGAATTCACATCCCTCACATGGCCCCTGCTTCCCTGTGGGCTGAGGAAGGCAGGTCCCCAGGTCCCCCCATCCCAGCACACAGAGCCCACTCATACCAGAAACCTGAGGGGCTGCTTCAAAGCCCCCTTTCTTTTTTTATTTTTATTTATTTATTTTTTGTCTTTTTCCTTTTTTATCGGTAGCGGGGATCGAACTCACGACTGCCTGCTTGCAAGGCAGGCGCTTATGCCGCTGAGCTAAATCCCCAGCCCCAATGCCCCCTTTCTTGCTACCCTTGAAATCTCATCACTCCTACCTTCTGAAGGTCTCCTGCACCTTCTGCCCCTGACAGCCTCTTTTTTTTTTTTTTTATCGGTACCGGGAATCGAACTCACGACCGCCTGCTTGCAAGGCAGGCACTTATGCAGCTGAGCTAAATCCCCAGTCCCCCCTGACAGCCTCTTAATTGCCCTGAACCCCCTCTCTTCAAATGGCCATGGGACTGCCAAGCCTGGAAGCAGAGGCCAAGTGTGCTGGTCACCCCCAAAATACGATCCACGCTTTGCTCACACTCAGGTCAGTTCCTGCCCCTGTGAAATCCCTCCATGGATTCCTATGGAACTTGGGGACACATGTAGGCAGGTAACTTTGAGCCTTCTTGTCACCCTCTTCCCTCCTGGGGCAAAACAGCTCTGCCTGTGATGCAGAGGAGTGCTTTTTCAACCAGGTCTAACCAAAGCACTCCTTGAAGGACTTACATGCTTTCTTCCAACTCCCCAGTGGTCCGCTACCCCTAGATCCCCCCAATTCCCAGCTCCCTGGATGCTGACTGCCCCCCCCACACACACACACATCAAATCTCTGGTTTCCCTGAGGAAGTCATCCCTCATCTCTCTCGCCCCTGTCATGCCAGCACTTCTGAGTGTCCTGGGAGGGCACTGCTGTTACTGCCTTGGCTCATGGGTGGCCCCGTGGAGGGCAAGGCCCCTAATGCTGACCCACTGCAGCACCACTCAGAGCGGGGCCCAGACTGGGCCTGGCAGAGACAGCGAGTCCCTCGGCCCAGCACCTCAAGGGCAGCTCAGAGCATTCTCCGCGGCTGCAGCCCCAGCCTGCCTCCATTTCGTATTCAAGACTCGTTCCCTGCTCGGGTAAAACAGTAACCATTTTCTAGCTGTCTGTGCTGCTCCCTGCATTACGCGTGGGCTTCTCTCCCTGCTGCCGACAGGAACGGGCCCATCTTATGCCCACTCAGACAGCGATGAGTAGAGGCCCTGGTGAAACAGTGCCCCCCACCAGCCCTCCTTCTCTGCCCTTTTATTAAATCAGGAGGTTACAAAGCAGGTCTGGGACAGCCCCAATGCCTCTTGGGATTGCTGGGACATTTTCATCCTTGGCTGCCTCTTGTCCAAGGGCCTGGCACTGGTCAGGGGTTTTGGAAGGTAAGAGGTGATCTTGGAAGAGTCCAGAGCAGAGTCAGGATTCAACCTTTCTCTTCCAGCAAGGCAGGTCTCACGAGACCACCAGTCCTGGGCATACAGAAAAGGATGTCCTCCAGGTCACATCCCCAGTTCCCTGGCCTGCGTCAGTTGGTGACAGACAACCTTGTATCTTCCTCTGACGCCTTTGGCTTCTCCTTTGGCCATGGCCGGGACATGGCTGGTGGCTGGATGCCAAGTGCACTCCATTTGCTCCTCAGGTGTTATCTTGCCAACTCATTCCAGGTGTGATCCCCACACCCCACAGGGAGGTCCAGCCTTCCCCTACCCCACCCTGAGTGAGGAAGTAAGGTCCACCAGCATGCCGCCTCAGCTTCCCTGTCAGATCCATGGAAGGTTCTAGAAAGGCTCCACCTGTGCTTGGTGGGACAGGGCGGTTATGACCACTGAGCCACTGTGCAGTCATCTAATCATACTCTGAACAGTTCTTTGAGTTGGGGGTGATTTATTGTCCTCTTCATGAAAAGAGAGACACTCAAGAGAAGGTCACTGAGGTCACATGGCCAGCAGAGAAACTTGAGGCTCAGATTATCCAGCTGCAAAGCACCCTCTGGATACAACTCCTGGCAAATAGGATGGGGGATGCCTGCTTCACAAGCACATCTGGGCCCCAGCTCCACTGCCACCTTCCCAAGGGCCAGCTCAGGTTGGCGCTGGGAGCATAGGGATGCCACACCCAGCTGGCTGGGATGCACAGCTCTGCTGTCCCTGAAGGAACCAACTGCTAATCACCGGCTGGTATCCAGGCAACCAGCCTTCCCGGCTTCAGATAAGGAGAAACAGCTGGGGCTGCTGAGGCTGGGAAGCCACAGAGAGAGGATGAAGGAGACAGCCAGTGGCAGTGTGCTATTTTGAGCCTGTTGTTCTCAACAGCCCTAGCCGGTCCTCCACCTTATCCTGACCACTGCCTGGAGAAGGGGTTTCAGGCTCTGCCCAGCTGTGAACCTCGCACTTAGGGGAAGCCAGGAGATAACCCCGAACCCCTTCCTATACAAGGGAGGCAGGAAAGGCTGTCACCGACTACAAGTTCTAGGCCCCTGGGGTCACTTGATAAACAGCAATGGTAGAAGCTGGCCTTGCTAAGGCTCCAGGCCTCTATGAACAGGTCAGGCTGGCCGCCAGGTCAGGCTCCCCTCTTCCCTACACCCTAGGCTGGCAGGGGTCACTGAGCAGGTGGTGGAGCTTCAGCCAACTGTCAAAGTGCACGCTCAGACTGGCTGGGTTCAGTTCTACCCCAGTGCTGCTCTTACAGGCTTGGCTGTGCTTCTGAGCCTGTTTCCTAATCTGTAAAATGGACACAATGTCCACTCTGCAAACTGGAGGTGGGAAAAAGGGAAAAAGAGTCCAGCATGGTGCCTGGCACTGCTGGTGCTGATGCGACTCCCTCTCTTCCTCATGTCTGGACCTGCCTAGCCCAGCCTGGGCATCTCTGCCACACAGGACCATGTCCTGTGTAGGGCTATTTCTGTCTTCTGTTCTAAAGGTCAGGTCCTTCCCCAGATATGCCAGCTACCACCTAAGTGCCATTGGTCCATGCCCAGGGGTGTGGTATCCCAGGTGGTTTCTCCATCCACATTTTTACCCAGGACATGCCCACCCAAGCACAGGGTCACCTCTGGACTCAAAACATAACTGTCTTTCAACTGGCACATTGACACAGGCCAGAGTAGCCTGCCGCCCCATCAGCACCTGGGTGCGCAAGGCTCACTAGGCTGATGGTCCCAGACCTTTCCTTGGTTCTAAGCCAAGTGATGCCAGGCTCTCAGGAGGGCACGCAGGCTTCTCCTGTAAGCAGGCTAAAGGAAAGGACAGGAAGGGACAGTGAGGCTGCTGGCAGGAAGTCATCACAGAGATCCAGAATTGTACTTGCCCCCTCCAGCTCTCTGGGTTCATCCCCTGCGCTGGTCTGGCAGCCCTTGGACAGATGGGGTGATGTTGCAAACTGGTGAGCTGATCACCTTACACCAAAGGGTACCTGGTCCCCCTTCGCCCCCACAGCTGGGGAGGGCGGGGTAAAAAGAAGCCAGTGAGTAACCTTCACCTGTAACCAGATCCCAGAATGCAGCCTTGGCATAGCAGTGACTAGGGCAGGCCTTGGAGGAGTGTGGTGTCCTCCAAATACCCCTAAAAAGAAAACAGAAGATTCATGTCCAAAAGCAGAGGACCGTCTCAGAAGTGATCAACCCTCATGACTGCCCTGGCCTCGAATTCAGAACTCAGAACAACCTTCCTGCCTCGCCCTCTGGAGAGCTGGGCGTATAGGTGTGCACCACTGCGTGGCCTGCCCTGGCTGGTTCTCTTCACCATGGCCTGGCAGCACCCCCAGTAGCTCCCTCAGAAAGGAGGAACTGGCTTGGCCCCATTTTTCAGAGGAAGCAACCGAGGCAGAGAGATGTGCAATCAACCTCCAGAGTAGACACTGGTCCTCTGTCCCCAGGGCAGCTGCTCCTGTTGTTCATTTGCACACAATTGCTCCTTTATGGGACCCATAGTGTGTGCAATCCAGGGGCAAGCTTTGGAGTGCTGATCTGTTCAGCCCAGCCTGCGCTTGGAAGCACAGCCTGGTTGAAATGGGTACCCAAGGCGAAGGGCTGTGGTCTGTGGTGGTGGACAGAGAAATAACCTAGGAAGAGCCAGACGGCCTCCACTGCCCCACATGACATGCAGACAGCGGGAGAAGGCAGCCGCTGGACAGCGTGGCGAGGGAAAGTTCTCCCTGGCACCCTCCAAGCCTCTTCCTGCTCTATGCAGAATCGCCAGAGAGGAACAGGACTATCAAAAACAAGATAAACACAAGTGCAGGGGACTTGGAGGAGCATTCCAGAGCTAAAAATACCAGAGCTTGCTAGCCGGGAGTCTGCAGCCTCCGGCCTTTCCGCATCCCTCCCCCTGGGCACCCCACAGCTCCCTGGCCTCCCGTAGCTCTCAGCTACAGCCCCCCCCATTTCTAAGTCTGGGATGCCAGTCTATTGGCGTCATGCCAGCAGCCTCTCCCAACCCAGCCCACAGCCAGGAAAGGTGGGCAACCACCCGGCTGGCCCTCTGCTCGATGGCACCTGCGAGAAAGTCTGAGCAGCTCCAGGAGGTCCACAGCTCAGCGGCACATCCTCTCCTCTGCCTTCTCCTCTGCTGTTTTTTCAAATGGTCCTATCAGCAAAAGCAAGAGCCTTGAGATCAAGGAGGATGTTGGTCTCCCTACAAATACCCTCGGCACTCACGCACACGCACACACCATTGGGAAGCAATTCTGCTCCCGTAGAATGGCAGGTGAGAACGTGGAGGGGAAAGTCCCAGGAGAACAGTCACTAGCAAGCACCCACTCTGTGCTAAGCTGTGCGAGGCTGGTCCTGTCCGTCTTTCACTTCATCTCACAAAAGGTTGTTTTATCCCCTTTTTCCAGATGTTGAAACTGAGGCTCAGAGATGCAAAGAAGCAGAGACACCAGAGGCAGTCCAGGCAGGAGCAGAGCCCCACAGTTTGGGGCTGAGAGAAGTAGCGGTGTGCCTCACGCTGGCAGCTATGACCAGGAGACTGTGACCTGGCCTCAGGGGACTGTCCCAGGCAGGGCTCTCTCCACCTCCAGCCAGCTGCTGCTGGGAGGGGGCATGGGGTACTAGTCATGCCCATGGCACACTGGGATGTCCCTTTTGGAGTCCAACCAGTGAGCAGAGGAGTTTCAAGGGACCATGACAGCTTCAGTAGCCCAAGAGACAGGAGGACATTGTTTCTAGAAAAGCTGGAGGTCTTGAAACCCTGGGGTGGTTATACCCAGAGCAAGCAGGTCAGAATTGAAACTTGGTGGCTTTCTCAGGCTGAGGGGTTTTTGTCCAAGGGAGGAGCAGATTTGTCCCCCCGAGCTGCAGAAAAACAAGAAGAAAGGGTGTTCAGAAGGACAGGGGCTTGTCTCTGGTCCTCTGGTTCCCTCGTTCAGGATGCCCTAGTACCACACTGACTCCAGCGTGAAGACCCAAGGTGATGCAGCTCATCTCCTGAGCAGCTCTATTATTAAGAGCAATCCTTCCCTTGTGGTGTGGAGCTGGGCCCTCCATCCCCTTGCCTTCCACTGTCTGGCTCTGCCCCCTGGACCACAGAGCTGCCCTTTTTTCTGCAGAAAAGCCTTTCAAAAGTAGGGCACTTTCTCAGGCGAGTGGGTCAGGGCAGGCTCTCAAGCACTAGAATTATGGACAGTCATGGAAAGAACAAGGCGATTCAAACTGGCTGGGTAATCACTGCCACCTAAACTCTGTTTCCCAGCAGTGGGAAATTTTTCTGACTGACCCTCATAGACTCTGGGGGAAGGTGGTCACAGGTCCAATAAACACAGGTCTTTCTTTGACCGGGTAGACACTGCATTGTTTTTGAGGTTTCCTGGATTCCTCAAGCCAAACACCTGGGAGACCCAAGACTTCCTGTTCTCACCATACCCCAGCCTATGACATTGTTGCAGGCAGCTGAGATAGTCAGAAATATTATAGGCAGTGAGGTAGGGCTAGGTCCTCAATGGAGCCAGGGCAGACACCTGGCAGCTACAGGAGAAGCTGATGTCTCCTGCTGCAGGCCAGGCCTCAAGACAAAAGACCACACAATTGCACCTGTATCCTGGGATTGCTACCCTAAATAGTTCCCATCCTCCTAGGAAAGAGTCACAGCTCTGTAAGAATGCCTGCTTTCCGTGTGACTCACTTCCCTTTGTTCCTAACATAATCAATTTACCTGAACTATTGATCTCATTGGCTAACCATAGTTAAGTCCCACCATAAACCCATGGTTTTACTCTATAAAAGTCCCCAGAAAAGAGAAGTCCTTGGCAACCCGCTCCAGACCCCTTCTGTCTCTCTCAGAAGCTTCCTTTCTCTCAATAAATATATTCTGCTCTTACCTCTGTTGTTTCTAAAATTCATTCTTTGATTTTAGAGAACACGAACTTGCAGACATAGTAAGTTGGGAGTTTCATTCTCCTATATACATGGCCTCAATCCCACCCTAATAGGTCTCATTTCTGTTCACTTTTCTCCATCCACCCTAACCTGTCTAAATCCCCCTACCTGTCATCTCCTAATGTATGCTGCTGCCCTCCTAACCCCCAATTCTTCCCCACCTAGAAGCCAGAGTCACATTATATCACTCACCTCTGCAAAACTCCCAACATTTGTCCAATGCACTTTAAATAAAAATGAAACTCCACATTATGAACTCTAAGGTCCTTTAACACCTGGTCCTGCCCACCTTCCTGACCACTGGCCTTCCAAGATCATGCCTGGCTCTTTCCTGCCTCAGGGCCTTTGCACTTGCTGTACCATTTCTATTGAGCATCATTCCATTAGCTCTGCAGTCATCTAGCATTTTTTTTTCTTTTTGAGACAGGGTCTTGCTATGCAGTTCAGGCTGGCCTTGGGCTCACTTTGTAGGTCAGGCTGGTCTCAAACTTGCAATGATCCTCTTATCTCAGCCTACTGAGTACTGGGATTGCAACAGTACACCACCATGCCGGGTTCTAGCTCATTTTTAACTTTTAGGTCTCAGCTAGAGTGTCAACTTCCCTAACTACTGTATTTCAATTTCCTTATATCTCTGTCATAGGACTTTTTATTTCATCAGTATGCTTTCCAATGTATTTATGCTCTCACTCATTCATGTTACTGTCAGTCCACCTCATTAACATGTGAGCCACATGTGATCAGGGACTCTGTTGTCTTCCTTACTGCTGGGGGTGCTGTCTCTCACACACGGCCTGACACCTGTAGGTATGCAGGAAGGGTTGACTGGGTGACAGACACCCTCACCCTTGTCCAGGCTCCAAGGGTATTTAGAATCCAGCCCTTCTTGTAAACAGAAATAAAAATGCCTGGCTGGAGATTTAGCTCAGTGGCTTAAGCACCTGCCTGGCAAGCTTGAAGTCGTGAGTTTGATCCCCTAGTACCCTACATAAATAAATAAATATGTCTGAACCTCATCAGAATAGAAATCCATTAAAAAAGAAAAATTGTTCAGTTCTCCTGATTAATCCACTCACTCATGTTTTATTAATTTCTTCAGCAAAAACTTCCTGATAATCAAAAACTTCAGTGGCAAGCATTGTTCACAAAGTTCCTGTTTTGTAATCTTATACTCAAGTAATCAACATTTACAATTACAAGCCAGGTATGCTGCTATGTACCTATAATCCCAGCACTCTGGGAGGCTGAGGCAGGAGGATTGCAAATTTGAGCCTGGCCTGGACAATTCAGCATCTTAGGGCCACTCTATCTCAAAATTTAAAAAACAAAACAACAACAAATAATCCAGGGCTAGGGATATAACTCAGTGGCTTTCTGCCTAGCATAAAAGACATCCTGGGTTCAATCTTCAGTACTAAAAACAAAAGTCTTGAGAAGCATAACTACCAAATGAAATGTGTATACCTGAAGGGGCATTAACAATCAAAAGAAATCCTTGAGAGGGAAGGCAGGAAGAAGAAGTAAAAAGCATTAAGATGTATTATATACAGGTGCCAATTCCCCAGGACAAACGTGGTCATTAGGTAAGACAGACATGTACTAAAAATTTTGAAAGGAATGGCTGGGGATGTAGCTCAGTGCGAAGGCCCTGGGCTCAATTCCCCAGGACGGCCAAAAAAAAACCAAGAATAAACAAACCCAGAAAATATTACAGATGGCATCTGGATGCCACAAAAGTACAAACAAGCTTTGGAGGTAGAGTTGGAGTGTAAGGGCACTAGAGAAGGGAACCTGGGGGGCCTGGACTCACACAGACCCCACCCACCTATCCCACCTAGCATGGCCTGGGGCAGGTGTGGGGGACAGAAGCAGGTGGGAGGAACCTTATAAAGCCACCTTCACCAGCCAGTATCTTAGTCAGAATGACACGGAGCCACGTCAGCTTACAGCTAAGTTCTCTGTGAGCTCCGGGGCTGCCACACACAGGGAGGTGCTCCACTAACGGGCTCACTGTGTTAAGTAAGCACCTGCCGTGAACGTAGCACGGGCCCTGCAAACCCACACACTCACAGGCAGGCAGGCAGGCCCACTTTGAGGCCCAGGAGGAAAAAGGGCTGCACCCTGACCTGGCTCAGCAAAGGAGCTCGGCATGGAGATAGAACAAAACAGAGCTGCAATCAGTTGGTGAAAAACCAACTTGAATGCTAAGATGCCTGCTGAAAGCAAAAATCACAAGGTAGGTGACAAAATGCAGTGCCAGTGTGGGCACATAGAGGCTGGCAGTCTTTGTCTCAGCGGCAATGGCCTGGAGGGTAGAATCTGTATGCGCTGCACCGTATCTGGGTCAAGCACATCTCTATCCTCTGCTGGTTTTCCATCCTCCTTAGCTCTCCTGATTTCCCTGGTTCAGTCAACAACCTTGATACCCCACCAAGATCCAAGTCTCTGTCAGAGGTGGGGGAGAACTGGGAGAAGAACTACACAAGAACGGAAGGTAGGAGCTGTCACCCCCTCTTCCAATGCAGCACCAAGACCCACCAAATCGGGTGGCTTGTACCTTCTAGCAGTTTTGCCCTGCCCCACCCTCTCATTTTCCGTGGCATCCCGTCCCTCCCTCTGAACATACAAGGTGCTGATCCAGAGGCCCTGTTAGTACTCCCTGAGCCTTCTCCCAGGAGGACACAGTGGCACTGCCTGGTGACACCCTGGGCCAAGACAACCCGTGGGATTCTTCTTCCCTTCAGAGCTAGGTAACCATGTGGTGGCGGCCGAGGACCTGAGACAGAGCCAGCCAGGGCCAGAACCCGGGCAGCCGCTGGGGTCGCCATGGAAACGCTCACAGCCCTCACCGGGCCTGGCCTTTTCACTCTGCCTTTTTGGCAGGCTTCCTCAGCCACCCCGAAACCCATTCAGCGGGCACGCCAGGCCCTCGCCCTGCCCCCTCCCTGCCCTCGGGCTCCCTCGGGCCACCTCTTCCTCACCTCTGCCTCCCCCTCTGCTGCAGCCTTTGCCGAAGCGCAGGGAGGGGAGTGTTGAGCCGAGGAAAGACTAGATTTTCCATTCTAAGCCGATTTCCCCTCGGCGGGCAACAAGCCCTTTCAAGCATTTTCCCCTATTATAAATGCAGGAACTTGCATTAGGATGAATGAGCAGAAACTCCTGTCTTTGTCAGTGCCTTGGCAGAGCGCCAGGCATAGAATGACCTAAAACACTCAGAATTAAATAGAGCTGGAGAAGGGGTGGAGATCCCCCGTCGGGTGAGAAACAGGAAGGGGGGTGGGGTGGCCCTTGGCCTCTAATTATAATAATAGAGATTCGCAGTGTGCCCAGGCCCAGTGCTAAGCCCTTTGCACAGATGCTCATTAAATCCTCGCAAAACTCCTGCAGCCTACTTAACCTGCCCCCCTACACACACACACCTTTTAACCTATCATAACACAGAGAATCAAGAGATGTCAAGGAACCGGCCCCAGATCAGCCAGCAACTAGGTGACGGAGTGGAATTTGAATCTTTCAAAGTCTGGATCCTCAACTACAACTTCAAGGTCACTTCCTGAGGGCTGATTCACAGCTCCCCAGCCAGTCCCCATCACTCGGCCCCCCACCTCCTTCTCTTCCCCTCCCCCTCGAGCTGCTTCCTTTCAATGGCCCCCTCATTCCGATGTCAGTGTAACTTTGTAAATTGGATTTGCGGCCACAAAGTGGATAGAGACGGGAGAGCCCCAGACACAGGAAGAGAGGCCTCCTCCACACCCAGCCTAAAGCGCAGGGGCCTTGCCTGACAAAGCTTCAGGTCACGTGACTGTCTGCAGCCCACACACCCAGGCCCGGGACAGTGCTCACAATGTTTATCAAGTGCTGAACTGCCCAAGCACATCCTCATCCTGATCACTGTCCACCTCTCCTACCCTTTCTGTCCCCCAGCAGCCTGACCGCTAAGGTCTCAGAGGCCTCTGGTCTTCGGCTTTCAGTGGGATCCAGTAAGGAGAGGGTGAGGCAATCAGAGACACAGGAGGTGAATGCAGTCTGGAAACTGGCTCCCCCTCACCTCCCAGCTGGGGCACGGGTGGGCAGCGGCTGCTTCCTTCCTTTGCCAAAGGCTCCTGCCCCTGGCCTGCTGGGCCATGCAGGTCCAGAGTTGCCAGCCTGCAACTCAAGGCGTCCCTTAAGTTCTCCATTCCTGCTGGTTCTCTTAACTGTCTTCAGCTTTAGATACGACACTTTTGCTGGTCGCCGGGCGTGATGGCTCATGCCTGTAATCCCAGCCTTCTGGAGGCTGAGGCAGGAGGATCATTGTGAGTTCGAGACCAGCCTGGGCTACAAAGTGAGCTCAAGGTCAGCCTGAACTGCACAGCGAGACCCTGTCTAAAAAAGACAAAAAAAAAAAAAAAAAAAGAAATGACACTTTCATTGAAGCCCCCCCATATCACCCTGTTAGAATGTGCAATCTTTATTTCCATCTAAGACACAGACACAAGCTTCTTTTGTCCTTTTTTTTTTTTTTTTTGTAGGGTGCAGGGATATGGCAGTGAAGAAAGCAAGTAAAATCTCTTGCCTTCTGGGAGCTAGAATAAGGCAGACAGTAAACAAACAAAAATATACTATGTCAGGAAGTGATAAGTGCTTCGTTTGAATGAACCAGAAAAACAGATCAATGAATGCAATCGTTTAGAGGTCATGATTAGACTTCAGAGATCAACACCCCTCACTTTACAAATGAAGGCAAGGAGGCCCAGAGAGGATACTTTAAGGTCATATGGTGAATTATTGGTAAAAGCTGGGCTGGATTCCAGTTCTCCTTGGCTGTGCCATGGCCATGGCCAGAGGGATGAACTTATAACTCAGCCTGGGAGGGAGGGGCAGGCAAAAGCCTTTGAAGTCCTTTTGTGTTCTCTTTTTTTTTTTTTTTTTTTGTCTTTTTCATTTTTATCGGTACCGGGGATCGAACTCATAACTGCTTGCTTGCAAGGCAGGCACTTATGCCGCTGAGCTAAATCCCCAGCCCCTGTGTTCTCCTTTTCTGCTTTGCATACAGTCTTCAGAAGCAACAGAGGAGCAGCAGTGGGGTTTACCAGAAGGCTCAGGCAGCTGGGCGGAAAATAAGGAGCCACCCCTGAGAATTATCTACCTCCTAAGGCCCCTTGGCTGCTCACTGGCATAGAGAGCTTTAGAGCTGCCCAGGAGACCTGAAGGGGACATGGGTGGCAGGCCTGGACCCAGAGCCCTGAGGCTGCAGAGGGTAGGAGAGAGGGAGGGAAGGCTGGCACTGCTGCCCTGGGTCTGCCAAGGGTATTGTTCTTTTGTTGCTGACGAAGGCCCAGCCCACATGCAAGGCTTGGCTGGGAACCTGCCACTGCCCTGGGTGACCAGGTCATGTGTTTCCCAAGCCCTATCATCTCTTCTGTCCCTCCCAGCTCTCTGTCTTGGCTGGCCCCCTCCACGCCCTGTCAGGTAGAAGGAAACTGAAAAATCATACAGAGTTTGCAATATGCCAAACACAGTTCCTGCCTCATCACAGAGCATGAAAATCTTTGCAACTGTTCCATGAGGTGAGCTGCTTGCCCCACTGCACAGACACACAAACAAGCTCCCAGGAGCCGTGTGGCTTACCCAGACCTAGAGCAGGAATGATTCAAACCCAAGCTTGGCTAACGGGAAAGCCTGGTTCTTTCCTCACATTGCCTGAAGACTACTGCCAGGGGGCTTCCTGGAAACTGCCAGACCACCCTCTTGATTGATTGGCCCAGATGTGGGCCACACCCACCCCTCGCCCTTTCCCAAGGCTCCTCCTGCTGGTTGCTTAGTGACTCGTGCTGCCCTGTGGCCCACAGCATCTCGGGGCCCATGCCCAGTGGCTCAGCCATGTGGCTCTGCACCAGGCTCTTGGCCCAGTGGCCAGGCAGAGGTTGCTATGGCAATGCCCTACCCTTGGACTGCCTCATGAGGCCCACAAGCCACTGGAATGTCTCAGAAGTACCAGTCTGCAGGCCAGCATCCAAACCGCCTCTCCCAGACAGCCACTCTCACTGCGAGCAATAGGAAAACCCTTTCGGATCATGTCCTGATTTTCAGTTTGGAAAACAGATGGTCACCACTGCAAGGCTCACCATACTGCCTCTTTATCCCTTGTCCTTTCTCTCTCTCTCTCTCTCTCTCTCTCTCTCTCTCTCTCTCTCTCTCTGTCTCCCTCTCTCTCTCTCTCTCTCTCTCTCCCATATCATGCTGTGGTTACAAAGCACAGACAACTTAAGCTCAAATTTCACTTGTCCTCAGCCTTCTGAACTTAGACTCAGCACTTGGGCCCCAGCTTCCTCATCCTTAATAAGAATGATAATAATCTTACCTGCATCCTTGGCTTTTTGTGCTGATGAATGATTTTTCATGAATCAGAATCAAAGCCACCTTCTCAGTGAGCTGTCCCCCGTCTTTCTACTTACACTGAGAGCCATCCCTGCTCCAGGAGCCTCCAACTCCTTCCCCTCCTTATTTTTCTCTGTAGCACCTATCACTAGCTGACACACCAAATATTTCTCTTATTTTAGTTATTTATTTAGAAGCTTTTGTTTTTAGTCTTTTTTTTGTATCAGGATTTGAACTCAGGGCCTCCCACTTGCTAGGCAGGCACTGTTACAGCTGTGCTACATCCTCAGCCCTTATTTTGACTACTGACTGTCTTCCCTCCACTAAACTGTAAATTCTACTGACATGGGAATCTGTTTCCATGGCTGCATTCCTGATGTTTCCAGCAGGGCTGGCTGTACCCAAGGGCTTAGGAAATATTTGTTGACTGAAAGTGAATGGGGCCGGCCATTGTCAAAGGCTTGTGATTCCATCTTCCCAGGAGGCTTCGGCCTGGCCCCAGGACAGTGCTAGAGACTGACACCTTGTCTTGCTCCTTTTGCTTTCCTCTGCCCATACCCACATTGTGGGCTTCCAGTGCTGCCACTGGGAAGCCCTGCAGGAGCCGCAGAGGGCCAGGCGGTTTGGGGGGGAGGGTGCTCTGGCTTCTGACCCACCCCATGGGACCACTGCTGGCTGCCAGGCACTCCTCCCCAGTTCTCATTCACACTCTCTCACAGGGAAGCTGAGTCAGAAGAGAAGTCTGGGAACAGTGGCCTCAGGCCACCCTTTCACTGTCCAGTCAGCCTGTTCTACCCAGGGCTGTGGCAGGAAGGGGCCCCTGGCAAAGGGCAGGCCAAGGCTGGCAGCAGCTCACAGTTGTGACTGTAGGTAAGGAGGGTTCCTTGCAGGCAGCAGCAGGCTGCGCGCCCCAGGACTGCCTCCTCCTTGGGGCCTCTTCCTGTCTGTTTTCTCCACTGGAACAGGACCAGCCAGGCCAGGGGCTGCAGCCCATGTGCCCACCTTGCTGTCCACGTGAGCAAATCTCAGCAGAGATGGCAATGAAGATAACCCTTTTATTTCTCCAGCCAAGGACATTCCACAACACCCTCACGATTATTATCTTACAGGCGGGAGAGAGAAAGGACAGGAATTAAGAAACAAAAACAAAGAAAAAAAAAAAAAAAAAAGGTTCCGGGCTCTGAGTCCAGTAAAGCCCGAAAACTGACACAATTACTTTGCTGCTTTGCCAGATTCCGTCAGTGTTCCCAGAGACCGACCTTGGAGAAGCAGAGCCCAAGAAAGAAACTGAGGCACAGGACCTGAAGCGGAAACACAGTGGACATCTCCATCATGGTACCTCCAGCGATCCAAGATGCTTGCTCCTGAGGAAAGATACCCTCTCCCCCGGACTCCCTGGCAGGGCCAAGCATGTCTTAGGGGGAGGCCTGGAGAGGAAGCCTCTGACAGAAGCATTCTTTCTCCAGATAGTAAACACCTTGCTGTATGTGTGGGTTAGCCAAGTGTGTTTTTAGCTGCAGCCCACAGGACCTGCACGCAAGTACCCTCTACACACACAGCCTGGCCCTCTCCTTACACGTGTGGCCCCGAGGCTGTGTTCTCTCACCTCATTCATGCACATGTATTAATGTGGCTTGGCACCCATTACGTCCCAGATGCAATTGTAGGCTCTGGCTACACTGCAGGCCAAACAAAATAACAAAAGGCTTTGCTGTCAAGAGCTTTTATTGAGGGACAGGAGTGGAAAGACAAGAAAGAAGCAAACAAAAAAATTCCGAGAGGGGGCAACTGCTATGGAAGTAAACAGAACATGGCCTGGAGGTGGCACCTTCCCTCTGGGAAGGTCTCTCTGAGGAGGTGACGCTGATGCTGGGGTTTGAGCCAGGCACACAAACACGGTGGGCACCTGCGACAGCACGTATTTTGGTGGGAACAAGCTAGCAGCAGGGCTTGTTGCTGGGACAGTCCCTGTTGGTAAATGTTGTTCCAGTGTCACATTTACAGCCTTTTCTTTCCAAGTCAGCAGTGGCCAAGGGTAGGTGACCACTTTGGGGGGCTGAATTTGTCCTAAGGACAACTTGAAGCCATAGGAGGAGAAGGCATGGCTGTGATTGATGCTTGCTGCTCCATGGGGAATAAACTAGTGGGCAGGAGGCAGATGCACAGGCCAGGCAGGCTCTCAGGTGCCCGCCTAACCAGATGCCAGGGTGGCAGCCTCCAGTTAGGGCCACAAGGATACCCAGCCCCACTCAGACTCAGTGTCTGCGTGAGGAGCAGGCCTTCAGCACCCAGGCCCCCTCCTCACAGTCTCACTGCCCTTCCGCTGGAACCTGCCACCCCAGGAGGGCCACCTGCCGCTCACCCCCCCACACACACCCGACCTACCTAGGCCCCTCCTAGGCCTGGCCAGCTGCAGCCCAGCCCGGAGCCATCCAGCACCCACCCCGCCTCCCTGCAGGAAGCCGGCTGGCCGTGCCTGCCGCGTGACCTTGGGCTGCAAAGTCCGACGTTTGCAAAGTCAAAGCAAGTCACTTCCTCCCGCGGGCCTCCCCGGGGCGGGGGCGGGGGCGGGGCGGCCGCTGGCCGGGAGTTGGCGCTGTCGCGCAGGCGCTCTGCATGCAAAGGGTCGCGCTGGTGCCCGGCGCCGCCCAAGGCTCATTTGTCACCCGCTGCTGACTCAGCACTTCTGGGGAAGGTTTTTCCCTCAGCTTTAGAGGCGGAGGCCCGGAAATGAGGCAGCCGCTCTTCCTTCCCTTTCGTGCAAGGGGTGCGTGTGTGTATGTATGGTGGGGAGTGTCTGTGTGTCTCTGGGGCTGCCTATATGTGGGATAAGTGTCAATCACGGGCGAGTGTTTTCCTATGTGTCCTTTGTGTACAGCTGAGGCTGTATGTCTTTTATTGTGTATTCACCTATGTGCCTGTCCCTTGGGTCTTTGTGTTTGTGGATGCCTGCTGGCCTATGCTTGTGTGGTCTGTGTGTGGCACTGTGTGTGTGTGTGTGTGTGTGTGTGCGCTGCTCCTCCCACACTCCAGACTTCCTCCTCTCTCTCACTCCCAACATGCTCTGCACTGTGACCTGAGATTCCCTGAGGCCACTAGGTACAGCCCTCCCCTGGCCTCCCAGCTCCCACTGTGGGCTCTGCTGCCAGACCTCTGGAACACATGGCCTCTGGCTAAAGGCACAGGTTCTCCATTTCGGCTCTGGCTCTGCACTTGCAGACAGTGCCCTTGAATGAGGTGCTTACCTTCCCTGAGCCTCAGTTTCCTCTCTCAGAAAAGAGGTGATTGGATCTCTAGAAGAGGTTTTCTCAGGAGGGGTCTGGCAGAGCGCACAGGGCCTGTTACTTCCTCTCAAAGCACTGGTCCAGCACCAGGCACACAGCCAGGCCTAATGAACAGTACTTGCTGGAGAACAAAGGCACCGAGCAGCCGAGATGCCTTGGCTGCTGGGGCCCAGAGTGGGTGGGAGATGGTGGCCTGGGTTGGGAGCTGGGCTGGAGCTGTTTGCGTTGACAGTTCCTGCAAGCAGCCAAGAGTGTTGACCTGATTTAGTGCTGCCTTAGGCAGCCAGGGAAGTGAGGAAGTCGCAGGCAGGGAGCTGGGAACTAGCCCTCTCCTACCCCCAGACCCAGTGCTACCTGTACCCTCAGCGCCCTTAGCCCCGGGGAGCAGCACAGCCCACCCCCTCCCATCCACCTCCAAGCTGTGGGCTGTGTCCCTGAAGGGCCGTCAGGTTGATTGGCTCATTCTTCTCCTCCTTGTTTTTCTTTTCCAGTATTGGGAAGCATCCAGAGCTACATCCCAAGCCCTTTTCTTCCAATTCTTTTTTTTTTTTTAATTAGTACCAGGGATCGAATTCATGACTGCGCACTTGCAAGAAGGCGCTTATGACGCTGAGCTAAATCCCCAGCCCCTCCAAGTCCATTTTATATATTAATTTGAGACAAGGTCTTGCTGTGAACCTCCTGCCTCCAGAGTGGTTGGCCCTTTTTTTTTTTTTTTTTTTTTTTTTGGTCTTTTTCTTTTTTATCGGTACCTGGGATCGAACTCGCGACTGCCTGCTTGCAAGGCAGGCTCTTATGCCGCTGAGCTAAGTCCCCAGCCCCCCTAGTTGGCTCTTTTTAACAAACCTGTGACTGAAATTCTTAGCCTTTCCCTTTGGCAGTTTGGGAAACAGGCTTTAGTAAGTACATCCCAAGTTCACATGGGGTGATAACGTGGCCGCGGGAACCTGGACAGTTCGGTCCTCAGTGAGGGGAATGATCTGCATGTCCACACCACTCACTGTCTTCCTAGGTGCGCACAGAGACACATCTCAATCTGATGCACCCTCCTGGTACCCCCACGCAGGCTAATACCCTTCCTGAGGGCAGCAAGCTCTTTCCTGGATCAGGCAGGCCCTGCTCTCCCTGGTATAGGTGATATCTTAAGCAGGATTAGTGTGTCTGCTTCAGGGTCTGCAGAGTGGATTCTCACACCCATCCTTGTGCAGGAAGGATATTAACCAGCTTGGGCTAGGGACACATGCAGCTCTCACTGGCAGGTTGCCCTGGAGCTCCAGTCCCACACTTCAGAGTTACTCCCTGAGCTTAGTAACACGGTGCCACTCTCATCAGGGTCACTGATGGGGACTTCTAGAACCCATGAGGGCATAACCCGGGATCCAGCAAGGAGAAACATGGACAGAGTGCAGGTTTGAAGCCCACGAAACCACAGTTCATACTTTTGATGCTACAAGCTCTGTGGCCTCGGGCAAGTCACTAACCCTCTCTGGGCCTGGATTTCCACATCTGCAAAATGAGGGTAGTTGTCCTGGGGCTCCTTTCAATTCACACACTCTCCCCTATGCTAGTAGGCCTAGATCATGGCTAGCTGTGGCCTGTGGCCACAGATGTGACCATAGACCTAAACCCTAGGACTGACTTGCCACCATCACTACATGGCTGGAAGGAACCAGCATGAGACCTGGTCTTTCGGAGATGGATTTTAGAAGGATCCTAAGTGAACGGTAGAACCAAAGAGCTTCATCTCCACCTTTGTCCCTTTCTGCTCCCAGGAATCCCATGTGCAGCCCAGCAAGACACAGTTTCCACAGTGCAGTGCTGGCCTGGATTCATGGTTGAGGCCTGAGGTCATTTTCAGTTTCAGGGCCTGTGACTGGTAGAGAGAAAGGGGTGTGGCACCTCTGGCCTCCCTGACTCAGGGTTGTCCCAGCATGGGTGGGGCTGCTGCAGGGCAGACATGCCCATTTCTGTCCAGACTCACTTAGGGCAGCAGTGGGTGGCTACAGCCTTACCTTTACATGGGACAAAGGGACCAGCCACTCAGTGACTCACCCGCATACCCAGATGGGTGAATCCCTGGCCCACCCGCCCTCTCCTGCTACCCACAAAGCCCCTTGGCATAGCACTCTGATCACATGGACACTAAGGCATGAAAAGACTTTCACAGACGTTGAGAGTGGGGATGGGTGGTCACTTCACTCACCGACTCCGCAGCCTCCTACGTCTGGCCTTCCAGTTTTTGGTTCCATTTACCCTTCATTGTTCTGGTTTAGTTCTGCCATCTTGGGACAGAACCAGGGCCTTGTGATGCTAGGCAAGTGCTCTACCACTGAGTTGCATCCCTTGCTCCCGTCTTATTAAGTTTCTTGTGTTTTCTTCTTGTAGCCCAAGTACCCATGAGACATGAACGGATTTGAGTATGGTGGCTTCTAGGGGCCATCACCTAAGCTTAGCCTGCCAAAAACAGACTCCAGAAACTCCCAGGAGGTCCTAAAGGGTCCAAGAAAAATAGATGAGGTCTGCTGGGAACAAGTGAGGTGGCTTGAAGCAGGCAGTGGTGACTTTGAGGACACAGCTGTGTTGTCATGAGTCCTAGGGAGGAGAGCACAGAGGGAGGGGCCCACCAGGAATATTGTGGCCCCCAGATCCAGCTGTGTGCAGTCCAGGTCTCTGGAGCAGTGTTGTATTCAACTGTGGATTAAGATCCATGTGTGGGTCAGGAAATCACCTTAGGGGATTGCACCCCAATTTTAAATAGGGGCCGAGGGACTGATACAGGTGCATGCCCTTGGTTCTCTCCCCTGCACGAAGAAAGTGAACTGGAACAGAGTGAAAAAGTATAAGTGTTAGTTACATGGGGTAAAAAGGAACTATGGTTTTGCAGTTTGCTTTCATATGCGAAAACACAGGTGCTGGGCTGAGCAATGGGCTGAGATGTGAAACGCTTTTTGTGGTGTGAGTCATGCTTTTAAAAGCTCGAAAGCCACTGACTGGAAAAATAGAGGACTGAAGACCAAACTGTGCCCTTGGTGTGTATGGGGGTGAGGAGGGGTGCTCTTTGTTTTAACACTGGATTCCAGGGCCCCCAGGAATGTCAGGTTTGTAGGGGAGCGGCTGACCTGTGACATCCACTTTTCCCACTCTTTCACACCTTAAAGTACACTGTCCCCTTTTGCCTCTTTCATTAGCAGTGAGGGATGTTAGCTTTCCCCAGATTCTCCATCTCTGGAACGTTTTCCAGAACCTGCATGGAGTGAATTGCTTAAAATTGTCAGGCTGAAACTTCCGGGTGGCAAATGCCACTCTGTCACCATCCCTGGCCATTGTGAGACCCGTGGAGAGATGGAGGACATGAACAGATGCCAGAAAAGCCAGCTAGGCTTTCCCCTCCCAGGTCCTGTTACATGGAGGAACCTTGAATTAGTGGGACCAGACAGAAAAAACTAGAAAGCTCGACTTCTGCCACCAAGGCCGGAAGCCCCGCTGTGCCAGCCCGTGGTTAGCCCCTGTAGTTGATTTGCAAATCTGTTCAACCCACCTCCGGTGAAAACTCCCAGCCTCACCCCAGGGGGCAATGACTAATTGCAAAACACATTTTCGTTCTTTTCTGCCAGGCTCGATTCCCCGCCCACGACGCTGCCGCCTATCCCAGCAGCCACCCGCAGCGCTCAGGAGCCTGCTAGACGGGGTTGAATGAACTCTTGGCCCAGCCCTCCTCCTCCTCCGCAGACCTCACTCCGGGGTTCTTTCCTCCCCGTCTCAGACTTACTTTCACTTTCTAGTCACTCTCGATGCTCTACCGACTCTCGCCCAGACCCTGGAGCTCAGAGCTGTGGCTTCTGCTCAAGGTAGGGCCGTTGGCGAAGCCCTGGGCTGCACCTCATCATCAGGTCTAGATTCAATGATAGTCACCAAACGGCACTAAGCACCTTCTGTTCTAGGCTCTAGCTACGCCATAGTAGCAAGATAGGCTGGCTTCCTGCACATGCAGGAAGCTAGTAGCAGAGCTAAAATCCTGGGCCACAGAGATTCCACGAGCAATTCAACAGGGTGACGTCATCTTTGTAGTTTAAAGCCCAGTGCTAGAGAAGCACATGCCAGGGCTGCCTGGTGCATGGTGCCTGGCCACCTTGACCAGCCTTGGGGCACCAGGTAGAGTTCCCCAGAGGGAGAGAAGGCTGGAGGGAGGCCTGAAAGATGACTTGGAAACAGCCCTTAGCTGAACAAAGAAAGTGCTATCTAGACCAAGGGAACAGCCTGTGAGTGGTGCCATTTTGGTGAGGCCCACAGTGGGAGTGGGTGGCACAAGGGGTCCCTAAAGGTAAGGTAGGAAGAAACCAAGCCAAAAAGAGCTGGAGCTTTCCACTACAGGCCGGCTCAGTGCTGTCAAAATGGGCAAGTTCATAAGGTCAGGGAAAGTGGTGCTGGTCCTGACTGGATGCTAATCCAGATGCATGTTGCAAACTCTGAAAATCGTGAAGAGCAGCGATGAGGGCACCTCAGACCACACCTGCAGCTTGCAAAGTGACATCACCATGATCAAGAAGAAAATAGTTTATAACTACAGTCACCTCATACCCACAAGGTGCTCACTCTGTGGACATCTCCTTGAACAGAACTGTGGTCTTAAAAAACCCTCTTTCAAGTGTAAGCCACCTGGGAGGCTAAGGTCCTGCCTCTGGTGGTCTGGGCCCGACAGTGGCCCAGAGCAGAGTTCTAGCCCTGTGGCCATCCTCATCCAGGGCAGGGGGACCCAAGGCCAAGTGCAGTGAGCCATGAAGATGACAGAACATAAGCCAGGGGGGCTGGGGATTTAGCTCAGTGGCATAAGTACCTGCCTTGATAGCAGGCGGTCGTGAGTTCGATCCCCGGTACCGATAAAAATGAAAAAGACAAAAAAAAGAACATAAGCCAGGGAGACTTAGACCAGAAGGCAAAGGTATGGATGGATAAGGCGGGGCCAGGGTGGGCCCTGGGGCTTTGGGAAGAGGGGAGAAGGGTGGTGGCAGGCAGGTGAGGACAGGAAAGTTTCCTGAAGATGAGCAAAAGGAAGGCAGAGGCCAGAGCAGTTCCAGTGGCCGTGGAGGAGAGAGAAGCAGTTTGGTGTTGAGGCTGGGAGGGGCTGGCAGGGGCACAGCCTAGGGCTGGGCCAGCTCTCAGGGGCTCTGCACCCCGACACCTGCTGCCTTCCCCAAGGGTACTGCTGAAGTGTATTTAATATTTCTAGGGGACTCTGTCTTGTTTTGTCCCCACCTGCTAACCTGTTCATTTCACTTCCTGTTCTCCCATTGCTCCTAGGGCCACACTGAACAGATCTGGTCCCCCACCCTGCCCTGTGGGAGAGCCGGTCCAGAGGCAACCAGCAGAGCTCCTCCCCTTCCTCCGACCGGCCCTGTCTTGAGACAGGTTTTGCTAAGTTGCCCAGTCTGGCTGGCCTCAAACTTGAGATCTTCCTGCCTCAGCCTCCCGAATAGCTGGGATTACAGTTATGTACGATAGCACCCAGCTCCTTTCTAGTCTGCTTTTTCCATTCTCGTGCCCTTTTCTGCCTCAGTTGTCCCCTGATCACAGTCTAGTTAGTTGGGCCTTAGATATCTGCCCAGGTCTGAACACCTCCCACCTCATGTATTGTGTCAGAGCGCAGGAGGGCTAACCCTCCCTGTTTCTACATGCCATTGGCTGCTAATGCTGCCTCTTCTGGGGCCACACTGCCCTCAGCTATAGAGTCAACTTGAAGATTGGGGAAAAATATGAAACCACTGAGATCTTCTAGTTCAATGTCCTCATTTTACAAAGAAGCAGAGTACAGCCAAGACCATAGAACTATCCACTGACGGATGAACAGTGAGAGCCACAGAACCTTCCAAGCTACAGAGGATTCTTTCTTTCCTTGAGATAACATGATATGAGAATAGAAGTCTAGAACAGTGGCAGCCCTTTTGTTCCATGAGGAAAGAGCTTAAGCTGAAGGAGAAAGCTGCAAACATCGTGTAGAATGCAAGGAAAAAGCACACACATCACAAGACAGAGAAGAGGCGAAGATCAGGTTTCTGGGGATGTTGAGTGGCTGGGTCAGGATAATTCAGATTGGCATTATAGCAAGACTTATGTGGTCACTGGGCCTTCAAATTCCATTTTAAGGTAGGTTTTAGCTGTTGTGTCAAGAAACTGCATGCACACACAAATCTGTGTGTTTAGGTGGTTCCAAAAGTCTAGACTAGTGCACACTCATCTCTGGAAGAGTGTGTGGGTCTTTTCTCCTGGTGGAGGTGGTTCAGGCTGGCCTTGAACTCCTGGAGATGCCTCAGCCTGCTGAGTGCTGGAATTATGGACGTGTGTTACCAAGCTCATCAGCAGGAATCAGTTCATTTCATCCTTAGCCTGGGAGCTGAGGAAGATCACTTCTAGTACCCCAGGTAGGAGTGGAGGGACAGAGGCACTCGGGGTCTCACAACCTGCTCAGCGTCACGCAGCTAGCAAGTGCTGGGCTGCTGTGCACACTGAGGCTGCCCAGTTTCAACCATGCCATTGTCCCCCCTCTCTGGCTCCCTGCCTGAGCTGGGGTGCATTTGGGTAAACCTTTTCAGGTCCCTACCAGAGGTCCCCTCCCCCAAGGCACACACCCTTTTATCTCTGTTTGCTCATTGACAGCCAGAAATTGCTCCTCGGTTTGTGTCCTCTGGGAAAACAGGAAGCTAGAGGATTAGAGACCCAGGAACACCCCACCCCCTAGAATTGCATTTTGTTTAAGCACTGTTTACACTTTCTTTAAACTCAGTTTACACTCCACAGGCATTAGCTATGGGAAAGCTTAAAGGGTCAGGGATACCTGCTGAGAAGGAGGTCCCGAGGTCCAAGGTACAGGGTCAAAGACAAGCATCTGGGGGCACACTGGGGTGAAACCCTTCCCACTGAAGAACCATCCGATTTTAGGAAAGTGACCTGCAGAAGCAGCAGGGCCAGTACAATGACTTAGGCTCACCTATGAATGGGATTCTGTCACTATCACAAGAAATGAGTAGCTCTGACTTACGCTCATGGTGGTGGGCAGACAGGCTTGTTCGGCT